AACCTGTTTAACGTGCAGCTAAGAGATCTACTTAATTTTATTGAATTCAATTTTATCCAGCTCATGCACAAAAGGCACATGAAATGAAAAGAGTATAATTAATGAAATGATTTTGATGTAAAAAAAATGATATGAGGACTGCATATTCAAATAAAGTCGAGGTGACATTTGGTTCAAACCAGCTCTCTCCCTCTCGTTCTATTTAGAAATATAAACTTCAATTAACTTTCACCAAAAATTTCAATTAAAAAAAATTTAAATACAACAAATCTTCATAAGCTTAAATATAATTATATCCGATATTAATAATAATACGATATAATTAAAAAAATCCGATTCTAATTTAGTCCAACTTTTTGTGAATAGAGGACATTTCTGTGTGTGCACTTTAGATGAATCTGACGACAAACAGACAAGTTTAGGTTGACTCGGCAGTTCACAATAATCTAGAATATATGTGAACATTATAATGCAATGGATTCTTAGCGACCTTTTGTATTACACCATTATAACTATTATTAGGATAATATCCTGAATTAACGAACATGAATTTGATTATATGCGGGCTCTTCTAGAATCCAAAATTCATGAAAGATGCATTCAAAATAACAATCGACACGTTGCACGTCGGCGACTCGGGAGAGTCGGAAAATGTAAGTGAAGTTTAAATTCATTATTTAACTAATTCGTGTTTTCTTTCTTTTTCTTCCATTACTTACACTATACATACGCATAAATACTAACATTTGTTTAATACATAAACAAAACAAATTTCAAAAACTATCTTAAAATTCATCATTTTAAAATTCGCAAAATTTTTGATTATGGAATTTCAATTCAAAATTTATTGGGTGCGTTTATTTCTATGTGTGTGTGCATTTGTGTTTATAATTTGGCTGTTAATTGTTAGAACCCCCGCTTCATGAATCAAAACTTTTTTATATATGTTGATTCATTACATTTTGCTGATGATTTGGGCGAAATGAATAATGTGAGTGCTTTGGGTATTAACTCTTCTTTCATTTTACATTTGCATTTATATAACTATTAATTTAATCATTACGTTCTTCAACATTTGCTACATGTACATGTATTTATTATTTCCTATCCAGCTAGCTACTCTCTTCTGTAATCTTGATCGCTTTGAGTGTAACGCTTCTACTTTGCACTCTTAGTAATATTGTGCTTTAAATTATGAATATTTCAAAATGTGCTTACAGGTGCACGAACTGTCGGCCGAAAAGTTGAAACTCCGCGAGGTGATTCACATTGATATTGCCAATGATTCGGTTCTGCCTGCGGACTACAAGCCGGAAGAGGATCCAACAACGTAAGTGCAAAATATTAGTAGTGTGATGAAATATACACTTATCTAATAGTGATATTGAGGAATATGTGTTACTCAATGTTAAACTCACTGAAGCTAAGCCTTTCCCTATTACCTTACTCGTAAACTCAAGTAAAACAAATATATTTTCAATCAGCTTCAAGGTATAGCCATTGTAACTTATTAATTAATTTAATAAATTGACAGATTATTTCGAAAGTGTTTATTGTTTTTTTTATATCCATTAATTAAATAGAAATTTCTTTTCTGCAGCTATACGTCAAAAAAAACTGGGCGTGGTCCTTTATTGGGTACGGACTGGAAAAAACGCGTAGATCCTGTCATGACCTGCTACAAGCTAGTAACATGCGAATTTAAGTGGTTTGGCCTGCAGACAAGAGTAGAGAATTTCATACAAAAATCGGAACGACGTCTCTTCACGAACTTTCATCGGTAAGCAAAGGCAACACTATTCAATAAAAATGCTTACAAAAAGACAATAAATTGTGTGCACTCATATATTTGCAGTCAAGTTTTTTGTTCAACTGATCGCTGGTACGGTCTAACAATGGACGATATTCGTGCTATTGAGGATGAGGTTAAGGACGAGCTGGATAAGGCGCGCCAGACGGGCTCGGTCCGGGGTATGCGTGCGGATGGTGATTAAATATTGTAGAAAATGTTTAGATATGTACTTGTAAAAACACAACACAACTATGTTAAAACAACAAAGAGAAGCAACTGAATGATAAAAGAAATGCATAAATAAATTAACAAACCTAACTTAAAAGGAAATAAAATATAAATAAATTCATATATTTATAACAAGCAACAACAAAAGCAAACACCAAGTGTAAGACAACAACAACAAAGCTTAGCTCTAGTGTAGCACCCATACAGTCCCAAGATAAAAACAACAAAGGCAACAATAGTACCCGTTAGTTAAGTTTTATTTTGAATATGTAAGATGTAAGCAGGATAGCACACGGAAATACACACACTGGACAATTGAAATACACATCCCATTCCCAGACTTCAGTCTGGCCAATAAAAAGTCACACTGTAGCATTAATTATCGGACACACTCCCTTAAACGGATAAATAAAAGTTTAATTTGAGTTATTTGAATAAATCATTTAAGTTGCAACTGTAAATGAAATCAACTAAATGACACACAATGTATAAAGTTTAATTGTAACTGCAAGCCGCAAAGGTATTGCATTGAAAAAGGTATAGAAAAAAAAACAAAACAAAACATATATTAAATTAAATGAATAAAAAGTGCATCGAAGCCAAGCAAAACCAACAAACAAAAGTCGAAATCAACTTAACTGATGTTTTGCAACAACTATAGAAACACACAATTCACACATACTGATGGAGCATAGAACAGCTTTGTGGCATATGCAAATTAGCAAGAGTCGTCAGATTTCTCAATATATTTATATATACATAAATGATATATACGTATATATATATATACACATATATATATATATATATATACATATATATATATATATATATATATATATATATATATATATATATATATATATATATATATATATATATATATAGATATATATACATATATTTACATGGAAAGCGTATGAGAGTACGCCTTGCATGCGATTTGCATTTGGAGATGTGTTTGGGGACAATGCTGAATTTTATGCAAAGTCCCTAGTTCATGAAATATGTAAAGGTATACAATGAAAGCCATTCGAATAAAACGGGTTATTTCGTTTCCTTTCCTCTATTTGTTATATGTAAGCAATATTTGTAACAATTAAAAACCTCTTTTAGACGGGGAAGGGTCGTGTCATGGTTTGAGTTTATGTCATGACCAAATCAGTTAAGAGCATCAGCGCAATGTTATTGTTTATGTGACATGAATTCCATTGCAAACTATAACATCAAATAGTTTTAGATATCTTCAACGAATATTTTTTTATAAACCAATATATTATATATACTGCCAGAATTGTATGTAATGTTACAACACTCGATTTACAGCACACACAGTCACACTTAAGGCACCTCCTAACAACTCCGAAACGCGCTCTAGTCACACTGAATACTTCAAGTACTTGCCGCTACTTTCTGCTCAAAGTCCCAAACATTATCTATCTAGAAAACGTCCATTTTAACGTAATCCTTCTAACGGCTTTTAACGGAACTCAAAAGAAATAACAAATCTAAAACAAACTAGAGGCACTCTAGATTCAAGAGAGCACCCTATAAAGAGTATATATACAAACATGCTATTTAAAGTATATTTAAAGAAAAGTGAAATTAATGGAACCTCATAAGCTTAAAGTGCGTGAATTGCGAAAAAAAAATGAAATTAATTATGCTGGAAGTATTGCATATTTTATGGGGCTACGTTTTTTCATAGGCAAAAGTGACTCAAACGTAAACACACTCACACACACATACATACACGCAAGTGTGTACAGAGTGGCAATGTGTATGTATGCGTGTGTATGTACATTATACACACACACATTAGCGAAATAATAAATTACTTGAATATATGTTGAAGTAAAATGTGTTATGAGATGATATTCACAAAATAGTATTTGTATAAAGAGAAAAACTGTTATTTGCTATGTGAGTTGCCGTTCAATTTCGTTGGTTCGTTGGTTGAATTAAACATTCAGCAGATTTTACCATATATATACCTAATGTATAAATACGTACACATATACGATATATGCAATACATTTTTTTCCAAAATGCGCTCTAAATGTTTATTCGAATTTATTTGTATTTCAATCGGAAAATTAAAAGAAAATAAGAAAAACTATACAAGCACATTTATATATAAATATATCATATATATGTATATATACATATATATATATGTGTGTATAAATGTATTCAATTCTTTGCAAAGGATCTATGGGACATTTATTCTTATATGTAATTTGTCTCGTGTTTTATATTTTATGTATTTCACTCTTGATTGACTCTTTGTGAAGAATTTACATGCTTCGGCATTGTCGGAGGTAGCTGTTCGTTCCCTTTAGTTTTCAAGTTTTGATTTGTAGCAACTGTCGAGGGACTCAAGTTTCAACAATAAATCCTTTTAAGTCCCATTTTCAAATCCATAAGGCTAATACTCATGATATTGGCCTTGGTAACCAAAAATTATTGCACACATTCTACAACAAAAGGCAAAAATTAGATTCCAAATACAATTTAGGCATTCAAATGAAATATACAAGACAAACTTAGAGAATAAAGGAAGAGGGAAACTGTAGGAAAAAATGAAGATTACAATTTCAGCATTGCGAAGCCAACAACAATGAAAATTTATAAATAAATTTAAATATTTTTAAAAATTAATTCGCGTTCAAATTTTCTTATATAAAGTAACATAAAGTTAAAGTAATTCGTTTTTATTCAAATAAACATTAATTAAATATAATTTGAAAGTGTAATACGAATGATAATAATAATTATATATAAATAAAAAAATATATATACATGATAAATCACTTTAAAATAAGTAAATAAAATATGTACGAGTAACAAGTTATAAGCTGTTAAAACATTGAAATACAAATTGTATTGTAGCAAATATTTTAATTAAAAAATTAAAAACAAAATAAAGCATTATTAATGATAATAGAAGCGAGATTTTTATTATACATACATATAATAATATATATAGATATATATTTTTTGTTGGTATACGAAATTAAAACACAGATACACTTGGATAAATAATTGGCCTGAGATCTCTTCAGTCGGCCAGCCAAAAGAATTGACGCACCTCCTCCTCATTGGAGGGCCGGCAATGCGGCGGCGGCTCAATGAGGGAGTTGCGCAACGCCTTCATTGCCAGCATATTCCGCTTCGACGCCAGCGATAGATCAATAATGCGATCTGGATAATGGACCCCAATTAAGCACTCGTAGCGCTTCTGCTGATCAGCTGACATTAGCCACGGTTCATGACTAAAATTGGAAGAAAATAAATATCGAATAACAAATGTCCGTCAATAAAGATGAGCTAAATACAGATCATTTTAATTGAATGCAAATGTTACAGCTATGATAGTCTATATATTCTAAATAAAATCTCAGTCTACAGTCTGCAATGCAAACCGTAAAATTTGCGCATATTCTCAAGTACATTAGAACTTTCGATTGGCAAGGATTAAAAATCAAATTGACTTAAAATAAACCTAATTACTTTAGTTATTTGATTGACATAAATAATTAGGAAGTTCTTAAATAATTCTTAAATTCTGATTCTGAACCAAGTACCATTTTCAATCGCCCATTGCATTCAAATATGTATATTCAAAAAGGACGCAACTCACATGAACTCCTTAGGCACATGCTGTAGCTCTGGCACGTACTGCTTGATATATTGGCCATTGGGATCGAGTCGCTTGGCCAGCGCCACGGGACAGGTGACCAGCGAGGAGTCGAGCAGCCGCTCGAAGGCCGAGCTGGAGACCCACATCCAATTGCCAGCACATACCGACCAATCGGCATCCAGCAGATACTTGAGAAAGTGCTGAAGGCCGAACTCCCAGTTCTGCCAGAGACCGCCACGTGTGAGGAACGTGGCCACCGTGTTGCGCAGCGTGTGATGCAGCCAGCCCTCGGCTAGCAGTTGCCGCATCGCACTATCGATCAGTGGGAAGCCGGTTTGGCCGAGGCGCCAGCGTTGCAATTGATCGGCATCTGGCTTCGCCCACGGTATGCTTAGGCAAATCTCGTTGCCCTCCATGCGATCGTATTGTGGATTGTTCACCGACATCGTGTAGAAATATTCACGCCATATCAGCTGCCCGGTAATGTGAGCGCCGCCAGACATTTGGACGCCACGGACGCAGGCGCGCAACTGAACATTCTTGAAGAGATCGTGCATGCACCAATAAAATCTGCGCACGGACAGGCAGCCAAATCGTAAATGGGCGCTCATCGATTTCGGCGTATCCAGAATGTTGGGCATGGCCTGGTTGGGCAGATAGTAACCACGTTCGAAGGCATGCTGCTCCACTTTGAGCCGCTCACCGAGCAGCAGCAACGCCTGCGTCTCGCCGCCGACCCAGTTGATTTTGGCCAGGTAGCCCATATTGTCACTGTATACATTGAAGTGCTCCGGTGTTGGAATCATCTCAAAGCAGCCAATATCATTGCGCAGTTCCGGCGACAGCTGCACAAAGCTGACGCCTTCAAAGTGCGGGTCTCGCACTGGCCTTGGCGGCAGTCCAATAATCTGTACTGTGTGCTGCAATAGATAGGCAGCATAGCCAGGTAGATAGATGAGTAACTAGTCGAAAGTTAAATGTGTACAACGTACTAGGAACATCTGATAGGTCAGTGGAGCAATGCCTCCGTTCGTATCGATGACCGTGCGTGGATCCCATAGTGTGTGCGATACCTTTTCCACATACTCGATGCCCAGGTCGCGGCAAAGGTTCTTCGTTGCTTCGTCGCGCTCGTTCCAGATGGGTTCGCAATCCTGCTCCACACAGATCTTGTGGAGACGCACGTGCTAATGCAGACGCCGAAAGATTTGCACAGGCTGGCCTTGGCATATGAGCAGACCACCGCGTCCTTCGGTCGCCTCCTGCAACTGCCTATCGATGTCCTGCAACGAGTCCAGCAAGAAGCGCATTCGATTGTAGCCAACATTTTTAGTGCCTAGAAAAGGGATATATATCTTTAGTTGCATTAATAGGATCCTAAGAGTCCGACAATGTGGCGCATGTGCAATCTCTTAAGAACTACAAATAATAATCAACACTTTCTAAATGGATTAGAGCTAGCTGTGGCTAGCTGTGCTATCTATATAGATGCAAATAATTTGGTTAAATATATAGCAAATTTTATTCTGTGTAGCCTCTCTGCATACAGAGTGAATTTTAAGAAAACTATTTAATAAATCTATAATAAAATTCGATTTAATATACTCATTCGAATTCGATTGACTGAATGATTCCTTGAATTTAAAAGACTTAAAGTTAAGAGTAAACACTATCCATCCTGCTAACGAATATGTAAAAATATTCCTTTATAATATGAATTCTAGCTAACTGATTGAATTCATTGATTGTTTATGTTAAATGAGCAAGGAGAAAGTATAACAAACAAGTCAGTAAATACTTTTAGTTTTGTATATATTAAAAAAAAACAGATAGAAATGAAATATTAAGAATTAATTATATTCAAGAAAAAAAATTATAATATATACATTTATAATGTATGATCCATAAAGAAAAGTGAAATAAATACATAAATTAAATGTTTGAAAAAGAACAATTTTTTACATTAAGAAATAATTCTAATTGAAATATTTCGGATATACAATGCGAAATTTTTAGATAAGTGCAAATAATAAGAACAAAAAAAGAAAACAAATTTATTTATTCTTTGTAAAAATCATGAAATGTGTATAATAAATTAATAAAAATTAGTTTCTGAGTTTATTCTCCAATTGCGAGCCCCGTTTTCACCGTCGACTGTACGTATTTAATTGTAAAATATTTCTCTTTTCCCATTTCCACATGTTTGGCGCTACACAGCTCTACAGACATATGCATATAAATACATATATGCATATATCTACATATCTACATATATGCTATTATCAAAGTCTCTCTGAGAAGCTAATTGTATGCAATTGTGATGGATTCTCGCTTCCGTCTACCTCTAGCTCTCTTGCTCGTTCTGCCCAGTCTCTGCCCTCTCTCTTTCGCGCCCACAAAGCAAAGCAAAGCGCATTAGAACGCACTGTTTTGTTTGGGTTGATTGTACCTAAGCACGAGCATAGGCGCTCGCCCGCTCTCCTTGCCGCCCTCTCTGGCCATGGGAACCTGCTGTGCTTGCAATGCACGAGCGACCCACTAAATATTTGGTAATAAAAAGTCGCTGAGTTGCGCCATTAGCTCATAGGAGCGAGAGAGCCGGCGAACGTAATTGTAAAACTCAATCCAATCATATGGAAGATAGTGTCAGTTGAAATTAGCTGATTGACTTACCCGCGCTCTCGCCATCGAATATGAATATGGGTATCAATGCGACGCCGAGATCTTTGTTGGACAGTGCCGCCAGCATCGCTGGGTTATCGTGGAGACGGAGGCCATGTCGAAACCAAATCACATTCGCACCACGCAGTGCCATGCTGAAGATCTCTGAGTTTTTTTAAGCTCTCGATTTCTTTTGTTTATAAACTTTTCTATTAGTTGTCTTCACTGTTAGTTTGTTGCGGCGACGAGATGCGTTCGCGGTGGCGTTCAATTTGCGAATGGAACAACTGCGAAGACGTGGACAGCCATTACAACTGCAAGTTCACTTGCTTAGGGGACCGGGCGCACTGAAGCTTTGGCTTTGACATGTTCTCATCGCCGTCGAGTGCGTCAATACAAAGCTGAGCGCGTGTGCCCGTCTCTCTCTCAAGTGTGCGAGTGTTTACAATGTGTTTGTTTGTGTGTGTGAGTATGTGTGTGCGAGTGTATGTGTGAGTGGCAGTAGCAGCGGGAAGCACTTAACACACGGCTCGTTGCATTTTGAGCACTGCACTACGCTCAGCTACCCAGAGACGACCCCTCACACCCGCCACAACGAGCGTCAGCGTCCGACTACAACCCCAAAGCTCAACTGTTGCTGCTTATTACGTCGCTGGCGTTTTTTATGACCTCACCAAGAGTATCGCAACTATGTCATTAAGTTTGTGCAGTACAAGCTTTTAGCATTTCGTATATAGTTTTCATGAACGATATTTTCTAAGTGCAAACACTGAACACAATATAAAAAGGGAAATATGAGACAGTCGGAAAACTAAGCGCCTTAATATAATTTGTGAAAATAGGATTATTTAAATTCATGTTTGCTTCATTAAATGATTATTATTATTCATTAGAATTTCTTTTAAATAATGAAGAAGAAAAGATTGGCTTAAATTGTTGTCTTAAATAATTATTTAAATAATGTTTGAAAAGCCTCAAAAGGCATATGAAATATAATTAGAATAAAATGCAATCAATAATATTTGAAGTAATCAATTTCTTAAGGAGCACAATTTTAACGTAGCATACTTTTAAGACATTTTCACTAAAAAATTTTTAAATTGTTAGATTATGCAATAAATATTTTGGAACTTTTTTTTACTGATGATGGATGACACATGATTTTATAAGGCTACATGCCTACATGCGACTGAAAAAATGAATGGTTGAAGGCAAAATTTGAAAGTTCCAAAAACGAAGCAAAATATTATTTGCTCTATCATAAATTGATCAACAATCAGAACTTAAGTGTATTTTAAAATATTTCTAAAAGTAATCTGTAAACAATTATATAATAAAATAATATAATACAATATATATTTAGTTGTGCCACTTAGCAATTAGAGTTTAAATAGTTCCATATATGAAGACAAAAAGGGAAAAGGCGTTTGTAAAAGTATTTTTATTTCACTTGGAAGCCTCCATAGTTTGCTCTGCATATTACTTATTTAATTGTGTCTTTGATGCAATTCGCTCTTTAATCTAAGTAAAAAACCGGCTTACTTAAGTGTAGATAGCGTATCTTGCAGTCGTTTGATAAGATGCGTTGCATGTTTGATTGTTTTACATTTGTGGCTTTGAAGTTGACAGTACAGTGGTACGTCAATTCCAAAGCTAAGCCCTCAGCTGGCTTAGTACCTCGTCTTCTCCACAAATGTTTGTGGGTAAGCTGCAGTGGCAGGGCATCGATAACTGCAGCTTTGCATGTTAGCAGAAAAGAAAGGCAGAGAACCGCTTGCCGCACGTATGGGGACAGGCAATATTGGTAACAATAAGCTGTCACGCCCATGGCCAATACATGGCCCGAAGCCCGCCCTTGCACGTGGCCCACGTGTCCAACTCAAAAGTTGCACTAACAACAATAGCAACAACTTAGAACAAAGCTCTGCAATTTGAAATTAATGAAGGCGAGGGGCTTGCTTTCGTGCCGAAGCGGAACGGATAAAAAATGAAAAGCCGCACAATGGAGTAGCGGAAACCACCTGCGACAGGTATGCTCCTCGTCCTCCTAATTTCTAGGTATCGACGTTACGATTACCATTACGACAAAACCTAGTGCAAAACTATGAAATGGAAAATATATGAAAATATACCTCAGCCAAAGTAGCTTCAAAAACTAGATAACACTATTCAGTAATTAGATTTATAAGATGAAACACAATTAACTGTAATTATCTGTAGTAATTTATTATTTTATTATAAATTAAAATTTTAATTTGATCACCATTAAAAGGAAATGAATTGCTTTATAATAATTTCAAGTGACGGAAACACAAACATTGCAGGTGAATTTGAAGTTATTCCAAATAATTTAATTTATTATTTCTGTTTCCTTATTAGTAAAAGAATTCAATTCATTTACCTACGATTTCAAAAAAAATATTTATATCTAGTACTAGTTTCTATATATATTTATATATATATATATATTTATATATATATATATATATATATATATATATATATATATATATATATATATATATTTATATATTTATATATATTTTTATATATATATATATTTATATATATATATATATGCTCACATACACATACATATTTATGTATTTTGTGAGCATTTGTTTTACTAATATTTGCCTAAACATAAATGTTGTTACTTTCTTAAACAGCCATATATGCTAGTCGCTTATTATAAATTTTGAGCAATTAGGAGTCTTTTGGAGACCACTGTTCGCCTGTTACGTTGCCTGTTCAGGTGCGCTGCTTTGAGTCCTTTTCTTCCTTTCCTTGGCGCAGCTGTCCTTTGTGCCCGGCCAGTTGCTTGTTTTTCTTTTGCTCAACACGTCACCAAGGAGTTGACGGGCTTGATGCCTTTGTGCAATCAGCACACACACACACACACACACTCATGGAAACACACATGACCACACACACAGCCATGTGTAGGGGGAACGAAAGAGAGAACAGTGGAATGCCGCCTTGTATGGCATCTTCTGGCAGCTGTTGCCGCTGTTTGTGCTGACGGTTCGTTACTTTACATCATGGCAAGTCCACGTTCATGACATTGCAATGAAATGTGAATGTGAATTGTGCAGCTCGTTGCAGAGCTGATTGTTAAATAAATTTTATATAATTTTCAGTTGTGTATTGTACTGGGTTGTTTATCATAAACGGCCAGTTATGTGTGCTTCAACTGCCATTAGATAACTGAGCAGAAGATTGTGTGGCAGGAGCTGCTGTTGCTGCTTAACGCGTTGGCAGCCAAGACACAATTCCTCCCAGATTTCCTTCTGCCATGAATAGCGCATAGTGCACTGCACCAACTATAAATCAAAACAGTTGCAGGGAGCATTGAGTGGAAATAAGCACTTACACGCGAACTGGAATTTGATTGCTTTGAGGCGTGTTCTTGACAGAGGATTGCAGTTTTTTATTGTTTTTTATTTTCGCATAAATGCAACTTTCTATTGACGTCATTTGATGAAGACATTTCTGGGAGTTGACGCTAAAAATAAATATGTTCGCGAAAATATAAATTCAAAGGCTTGGAAAATTGCACGTGTATTCGGAGATTTTTATGCCGTGCACTCATTGAAAAGGGGAACTCAGGGTATATTGATTACGTGGGAATGTACGTAGCAGCAGGAGGAGACATGGTGATATGTTCGTTTATAATGTGTAGATTATACTTGATCATGACGATTAGCAGAGTCGATCTAGCCATGACCATCTCTCTGTCAGTCCATCCGTATGAACGCATCGATATCAGATATTAATGAAATTTCAAATATAAATATTGACTGTATACAGGAATAAACGCATGTTACGAGTTTATCATTTTCGCGAATGAGTGCTTTAGAGTAGGGTTGATCCAGCAGCTCTACGCTGGGTACAGGTTACATTCCAGTCGGGTACTGCCGACTAGGCCACTGATATTTGCTTTTATACAAAAATGAGTCTTTCTATTGACGTCAATAAGGACTCAATAAGAGCTTAAAATAAATGCATGAATACGTGAAATAAAATGACACAAGATTATGCTTCCGAGAAAGGAAAAATAAGAGCTGCAACCTTTTCATAACAAAAGGGATATATTAACCCTCTCTCCAAACAACCCCCTCTACCCGAACAATAAATTTTATGCAAAGCAACCAAATTCAAGCACAGACTTATAAAATGGCTTGTTTTTCCCACCCAAGACTCCGCCTTTAGGCGAACTTGCCTGCTTGTTGATAAGTTTAAAATCAAAGCCGAAAATTTGTAAGGCTTATTTATTTTTAGAAAAAAGGATAGACATCGATTAAATATTAAAGCAACAAGCAATAAGCAACCTATGCGAGCAAGTTAAAAGTACTTATTTTTTACTGATATTGCACTTAGTGCAAAATATATGCGTTTCTGATACTACCGGCACTACTTTAGGGTTTGATTGGACATCAGCTATTTCAAACGAGAAACATATTTCTATATAATAAGTGTTCGTTGACCACAGCCTAATTTGGCACGTAAAATGCTTGAAAGATCCTCTACAGATTGACCATTTGCAAATCGTATCTGACTATATAGTGTTTTGTAAGCTTAAGATATATTTTGCACTTTATTGGTGCCAAAGACTTCAAATTTGGGATATATAAAATTTAAATTAAAATTAAAAACATTAAAATTGAAATTAAAATTCGATTATTGAGTTACGGTTAATCTTCTCTCACTCTCTGCAATGTTCTAATTAATTATTAATTAATTAATTTTTTTTTATTTTTAGTACAATATTTTTACTTTACAATATCTTTCATTTTTAAAACTTATTTTAAGCATATAATAAATAATATATATTATATATATTTATGCATATTTTCAAATTATAATTGGAATAAAGTTAAATGCATCAGAGATACATAGTACACATATTTGAATCTAATAATAAATATGCAATAAATTTCAAATAACTCGAATAATAACGACTTACCTTAACTCTGGCTTTAGGCGGTTCTGCCCGTTAGAAGGTTAACTATTTTCCAATTAAAATTCCATAAAAGCTGATTAGAAATAAATCTTTAAGAACATTTTCTTTTTATACCCTGAAGCCATTGAAAATTCGAAATCAGGGTATAATGGTTTTGTTAAAATAAATGTAACGTGGCGAAGGAGACATAGCAGACCCCATAATGTATACATATATGACTCCATAAAGTATAAACATGATTTTATGTATTTTAAGCAATTTTGGTTTTAGTTGTATTTTGGATACCGGATCCAAATATTGCCAAATTCTTTAAGTTTAAGTTCAGTTGAAAATACGGCCAATATGTGAACGAGTTTGCATTTTTACTCACC